GCCAGTCGAAGGGCGGAGGATGGACGCGCAGCGGGGTGTCCGGCCCGAACTCCGCCCGCCCTCCCAACGGCGTGCACAGCTGGGCTCCCCGCCTCGGAGTCCTGGCCCCGGCCCCGAGCCGCGCGCGCTCCCCGTGGACCGCGGCCCCCGCCCCGCTCCTCGCGCCGGGACACTCACCTCCCAAAGTCGCCCACGCGTGCCCAGTTCCGTCGCCAGATCGAGGCGCCGGAAACCGACGCGGGGGCAGCTGGGAGGCCTCAAGGCGCATGCGCCACGGCCAAGGCTGACGACCACACTGCCCACCGGCCCCCCCCACCCGAAGCAGAAGGCCGGCCCGACGCGGAGCCTGCCCTGTCCCCAAGGGAGGACCAGTGAGTGGGGACGGTGCCCAGACCTGCCAATCAGAACCCCGCGACGCGTGTGCGTCACGCCCGGACGCCAGCCCCACGTCGCCTCGGTGTCCTCCTGAAGTCCTCGCCGGGCCCCGAGGGGCGGGAGGGGAGTCGTCCACTTCCTGTCCAGCCGAGGCAGTACGTGCCGCGCCGCGGAAGGAGCTGCTGCTGCGCCCTCTCCTCCCTGGCCCTTTCGGTGCCACAGGCTCGCTCTGGGGCACACCCACCTCCAGCCTTGGGGGCCGTCCGAGCCCTTAGCGGCTAGTGGGCAGTTGAGCCCCAGCCAAGGGCTCCCGGAGAGGACACGGCTATCTGCTTCATTGGTTGCTGTGTGCAGAAACTTAATGGCGCGGGAACAAAGGAGCTAAGAGCTTCCTGGGAAATACCACGCGTGGGGGCGCCGAGTTGCCATTTCCCGTGGCGGGCGGGCCGGCCGGCCAGGAAGGACCCCGTGGTTCCCCACTAGCCATCCCAAGTCTGGAGGGCTCTGCAGGAGGAAGGCCTTATTCGAGAAGCTCGCCTTTCACGTATTTGGACCCACTCCTGTCTTGTCCACAGTCCCACCCAAAGACCTGGGCTTCCAATTTTATGTTCAGAAAGACTTTTGTCTTTGCTTTTTTAAATATATGATGCTTAATATGTTGTTTGGTGCCATTTAGAAAAGGGAATTAAGAACGTGTAGAAAATTCCAGCTCTTAATGTTTGGTGCCCTTTAGAAAAGGGAATTAAGAACGTGTAGAAAATTCCAGCTCTTAATGTTTGGTGCCATTTAGAAAAGGGAATTAGGAACATGTAGAAAATTCTAGCTCCCTAACTGCTCAGATGTCCCCCAACTCTGTGTAACCAGCTCCCCCATGTCTCCGTTCTGCACTTTCGCTTCCTAACACTCATCACTGCCTGATAACATACCTGTTATGCTTTGCTCCCACTTTTTGACTACAGACTCCCTGAGGGGAGACCTTTGCCCCACCCCAGAATTGCTCCAGGGATAAGGGAAAGGCTTGAGTGAATGAAGGCAAAAGACATTCCTAACCCAGGAAGAAAAAAAAAGTACTATTAATATTTTATTTTATTCTGTGCTCTCGCAGTTCTACATCTATGAATATATTTCTAATACAAACCTAGAGTCGTGTTTTGTTGACTCACTAGTCTGTCGAAGATATTTTTCTAGTATTTATCAATAAAATTCTTCCGCTTTGCAAGTTTGAAAGAACCGATACGTTTGAATTGGGGTGTTGGCAAAGAATATTGACAATACCACGTGGCGTGCCAGAAAAATGAACCATCTGTCTTGGACAAAGTACCACCGGGATGCTCTTAGAAGCCAGTCTCACATACATTGAGTGTCATCAGGACGTCATCCTTGGTAGATTCCACAGAAGGGAAGATGATCTTCCACGAGATGGACTCACACAAAGTGGGCAACCGTGAGCTCACACTTGGCAAGGAGTGAGGATGGTGGGCTGGGCTGGATTTCAGTGCTTTGTACATAGGATGGCAATGAGTCAGAATTGACTGGCCAGCTGTGAATTCAGGGGGTTATTTTGGGGACTGAGCCAAA